GCATGTCGGGGACTACCTCTCAGGCAAAGGTTTTTTGTTTTTTTTTTTGGGTCGGGGGAAAAAAAAGAAGAAAGAAGACGAGCAATGGCCGATTGCTCTTCACACGCAAATACTGTTGATTGACAGATTGATTCACTTACACACACGAACACGCGCGCACACGCACACGCACACGCACACGCACACGCGCACACACACACACGCACACGCACACACACACACACACACGCAATGGATTTCATGTGCGGATCCGAAGTAGGGGACTGTCGGGGCAAGCTGGCTGGATGGAATTGTGAGGAGGCGGTAGCGCGGGGCCTCTTTTCCCAATGGATTGCTACAGTGACACATGGAATTGTGAGCAGGCCTTAGCACGGCCTCTTTTCCCAATGGTTTGCTACAGTGACACGAGAGCTGTGGGGCTATGTGTGGAAGAATAACCTTCGTTGGTTTCTTTGCAGCGCTGGAACTCGAGTCCGTGATAGGTAGGTAGCATCGCGTCAACTCCAGGCGCCCTTCCCGTACTCAGGCCCCTTTATGTGGAGCCCCGTTTTTTATTTACGGAAAGGCCGCCACACTCGTCTTTAGTTTTGAGCAATTCCCTCGGAGAGGCTGCAGTGGGGCACGATGGGCCTCTCATGCGCATGAGAGGCCCGTCTTTCCGGGACCCCCGTGCAGCGAAATGGTGTCCCGGTACTTCCCGAGAGCCGCTGGAGCATGCACCCCCTCCATTTTGATTTTCTAGCTGGGAAATGTACTGCTGGTTCAAATGATGTACGGGTGCAATTTTCCTGTTATCAGAAAAACACAGCCATGCGGAAAAAGAAAAAGACAGCCAGCTACCAACCCGCCAAACGGAATATGGTTTCCTACCAAAAAAAAAAAAAAGAAAAAAAAAAAGGTTTCCTCCTCATGCAGCGGCCCACCCATACAATCCACGAAATAGATTGAAGTCGCCACCAACAAAAAGAAAGGAAAAAAAAAGAGCGGTAAACTTGAAGTGTTGGCGGGCTTTGAAGTCAGTTGAAGTTACCCAAAAAAAAGAACGAACTTTCAATTTTTTTTTATTTTTTATTTTTTTAAGCTATGTTCTTCTCTCAATTTCACCTCACACTACCTACCTACCACTACTCCCACTTGTAGGCATACGGGGAACACCCCCCGTAGCAGCCAGAACCGTGTTCACCTGCAGGTCGAACTTCCAATTGGAAAGTGGAAAAGGTTTTGAAGCGGCAAAGTGGGGAAAAAACGGCGCGAACTGTCGTTGTGCTCCGGCATAATTAGTGAGTATTATTAATTGTTTATTATTCTTTCAAATTCCTCTCATCTCCTCTTCCGCTTTTGTTGATTGTCTCTAGAGTTTATTGGCGGAGAGGCAGAGCCAGAGCCAGAGCCACAGCCACAGCCACAGCCACACCTCCTCCTGGAAAAAGACAAAGCTAATATAAGTTATAAAAATTTATAACAATGAAACCCCAGAATGGCTGCTGCTGCATGAATGAGGGCCGAAGCAGGGGGCGGCGCCGTAGCCGCGCTGCGCTCGAGTCCCATCCCATAATGCGTGACGCGCGTGCATAAAAGTCCCATGCGTGCCGCCGTGCCTGATCCGCGTGATTCGCGCGTGCAAGAAGGTTAGCGTGGCGTTGAGGGGTCATACATAACCCCGGAGTGCGAAGCACGGCGGGGAGAGACGCGTCAGTTAGCACAGCCAATCTCAGAGGAAGGGTTGATCAAAATCTTTGGGGGGGCGCGAGCTGTCCTTTTAGGGGGG